TAATCTGCTCTAATACGGGCTTGGATACATTATTAATTTTTGTCACACATCTGAGGCCCCCTTTCATCAACCCAAACCCATCCTAAATCCCTTGTTGCATCATTAAAATTGTGGGAACAGCTTCATCATTGGTGACAGAGRGACGGAAGGAGCTCTGTCCATATGGCAGAGGGAGCAGTGGCCACCAGCAGCTTCCCCAATCCCCTTTTTGGAAYGAGCAGGGCTCAAAACAACCTGCAGTGGGTGACAGAATCACCTCGGGGTTTTTTTGTATAATATTTTTTTGCCTGGGAGCAGATGAGCCCCACAGCAGTGCCAGGATCAGGGAGAAGCTCAGCCCTGAAGGGTTTGGGATTGAGAGTCCAGGGTGGGTTTGGTGGGTGCAGATTTGGGGGATTTTGAGTCCTCACAAGTTCAGAAGTTGGCACGTGTTAAATCAGCCGCCAATCCCCTGCTCGTGCTGGGAATTAATCATTGTTTGCAAATCAGAAAACTGCACCGTGTGTCTGCCTGCTGAAAGAATGGAGGAGCTTTCTCCTTTTAAAACAGAGAAATTTCAACACGGGAATCTTTCTGCTCGTATTTCTGAACCTTTACCTTAAATTTTTATCAGGAATTTAGAGAGATTCTGACTTCACTGACATGCTAATGACAGTTTCAGTGAAAATCTCTGGGACTCTGCACTGACAGACAGTTTCCTGAAATGTCATTCATGTTATTCAYACAAATAATCCTATCAGATTACTTGCTGGGGAGAAGGATTTAGCCCTTAGTAATGAGAAGAATTGCACTTGAGAAGCAGAGATTAATGTTGATTGGTGTAATTTCATTCAGATTAGAAGGACAATGATGAAGAGTTCAGCATAGATGGGAGATAATTGCATTGTAGAGAAATGCAGTTATTCATGTTGTTACATTTTTTAATGTGGATGGTGCCAGGATTTGAGCTTTCAGGGATAACARGAAATATATGTCATTACCACAGGTGATTTWAATTTTTAAAAGATTGYCATTCTATTCTGCCCTTTGTGTTTCTTTGTGTCAGAAAGTTCTAATGTTTGATTATACACAAATGAATTTAAATGGTCACTCAGCTTTGTTTTATAAAACACAGTCTGTGATTATTGCAGATTTTCTTTTGAACCAGTGCTTGGCATAGACAGTCAAAAGAAGCATTTCTATTTTAAATCCATAACTGCAAAATTGGGAATTCTCTATKGTGTAATCTAACAATGCCCTGTTAATTTCAAAGGTTCTTTCCTGATTTACAGTAAATGTTCAGACAGTTCACTCAGGAAATCAATGAGGAAATACTGCCACAAAATTTTGGTAATGTCTTTGGTAGGACAGTGTTTTTCTTCCAACATAAAGAATATTTAAAGGGTGTATCAGAAATTTAAAATATAATGATATTTAAATGATCTTGGGATGAGGTGATAAAACGCAGAACAGTTTCACACCTTTCCATATGAGTGTGACAGCACAGCAGGTGGTTTATTYACAGACAGCTGCAGTAGCATGGAAGTGAAATAATGAATAATAATTTGAATGAAATCATTATATTTCTGGATTAAAAACAAAACATGGGCTTAGTTCTAGGGCCATCTAGCCTAAAATTCACTATGGCAACAACCCTTAACATTTGAATATGCCTCATATTTTGCTTAATTATCCCTCCACTGCAAACATTTCACAATAGCTCAAATATAACTCCAAATATAGGCATTTAAAACATAATGAAAAAAATCTGTCACATAATTTATTTCTCTGGTTGGACCAATGGTGGCAAGTCATTATTGTTACTATTTTAAGGGTTTTTGTTTGTTTTTTTTTTATTTAGATGGCTGTCAGTTGCTGATTCTTATATCACTCCAGAGGACTAAAACATACACTTATACCAAACAATTTTTTTCCAGTGGAATTATATTCAAACTTAGAWTCAGATTACCTCCTCATAATCCTTTTATATACTAATATCCTGAATACACAGTTCTTGTTTTCTTTCACTAGGCATCACTTTATCCTCTTATTTTTGAAGCAATTAAAGATCTCTAAATCAATCTCTGATTTATCAACACTCATATAAATGTGTCCAAATTACCCACAAAAATCCGAKGTTATTGACTTAACTACACCCATTGCATATAAATAAAGAAAAATAAACGTTCTAGGATTACATTGACTGCTGGGATAGAGCATCATGATGGGGGTTTGTGTTTCTAGTCCTGCTTGGTTCAAGATCCTACAGTGTGACTGCTTTTCAGGGTGGTTCTCCACCCCTTGATGTCACTTTGCACAAAAGTGGRATATATTGAACAGAACCCAGTCTACCAAAAGTTTAATATGTCATCAATATTCCACTGGGTATCGTGAATTATCCCCTGGATCTTTTTGTACCCACAGCATTCATAAATATCCCCCGAATTACTGATGAAAAGTGAAGACCACAGCAAGGCTCAGCAGCATCATAATGGTGCCTGAATTTTTGAAAGGCTCATAAACTCAAGCCAGTGAAGAAGAGAAAAATCTAATTCGATTCAATCTAGTGAAGAAGAGGAAAAATCTGATTCTCACGTGCCAGCTTGTGTTTTCCTACTACTGACTTCTCCTGCCAATGTCCCTGCCGCTGGCTTGCAAATCTTTGTAGTTGCATCACTTTGCATCTGAATTGGTTCCAAGGGCTTTGCTGATGTTGTTTGGGTGAATGAAGGCAGCTTTTGATTCTCTGGGTCAGATTCTGCAGCCTTTAGTCAACCAAAATTCCCATTAATCCTGAGCAGTTACAGATGGTGTAAAGGTACAAAAAAAAAAAAAAAAAAAAAAAAACAAAAAAAAAAAAACCAAGATTAAAGGAGGAAGAAAAGGTGAACAGTCCTTCAAGTGGCTGCTAATGGGTGTTTGAAAAGGCCTTTCACATTTCTGAATCATTATCAGATGGCCCTTGTAAACAGAAACACAATGGACACCCCAGTGTAAAAAYGTGGTGGTTTGATTTATTTGTTTTAAAAGGTAGGATATTAATGTGTTCTCAATTACAGAGCATGTCTCCGTTTGCAAATCCTCATCATTTCTAGCGCTGATCTGCCTAAAAGTTGTTCATCTTGGGGAGCATTTTTTGCTTTAGCCACCCTCTCTTTCCCAAGCACTCCCAAGCCATTTTGCTCGTCAGGAAAAGCCTCTCTGCCCATCCCGGCCCATCTTTCATGCTGCAGGCTCCAGAGAAGAGTTAAAGGCGTCTCTGGCTGGGTTTAGAATCCATTTGCACTCAGCGTGGTATTGGTTCGAAGGGTGGCACTAGGACCTGTGCTGCTTGTGCAAACCATGAGCCTGCGGCATTAAGCGTGGATGTGAAAGCCTCGTGTGTCTCCAATACTCAGCGGATCTAATTAACAGGTAGAATCGCACCCTGGGTGCTTGAAAAACTGCCAGACACCATAGAAACCAGTCCTTAAGTCCCCGGACCATCTGCACTTTCTTTTCATTATGGAAAGTCTCATTGAAACACGCTTTTCGACCGTTCTAAATTCATTTGTGCGCTAATGAAAAATTCCTGATGATGGTTTTCCTTTCCATTAAAACAAAAAATCGTAAAATTATTTTATTCAATCACGGGAGGAAGAAAAAACTCTTAAGATTTGATGAGATAATGAATCTTTGAATTTGCCTCGTGTTGTTGGAATATCATTGCCACAACCTCCTTAAGCGACTGTTTAAAGGAAAAGGAAACCAACAGGAGCAAAACCCCCGCAAGACAG